ATCACTTTAAGAGAAATGGATTTCAATGTGCGTCTTTTGTATTCCACACAAACAAGATTTTTCTTCTGTGTGATGGAAGTCTTCTATTTCGGAATTCAAGTTGATTTCACTTGGACTCACACAAACCCCATTTGAAACAACTTTGAATTGGACGTTTGATCGCTTCATTGGAAAGATGGTCGTCATTTTCTCAACCTCATTTTGGTGAATCTTTGTAATGATATGATTGGTTGTTACTATCACAACTAATATACTCAAAATTACGAATAAAACTGATATGACAATCACAATTAAGAGCACCCACCATACCGCCTTTGTGTCACACGCAGTGCCTTCTTCATTTGGTGCTTTCCAAAACGAGCATTTTGTGCATTTGGAATCTTCAATTTTGTTACAATCAAGTATCGAAGAAATTTCAGTGCAAATTGAATTTATCAAAACCCGACTTGAATCACATGTTAAACACATTTGCTTCGAAGAACACGTTTTGCAATTTGTGTCACATACATCACATTCGTTTTGATTGATTTGGAAGTAACTGTCTTCACATTTTGAACACCCATTTTGAGTGACTTCAACTTGACAACCAACTATCAAATTTTGTGGCTTACAATCATTATTAATCGTCATGTAATTTGTAGTGTTACAAGTAAGACACTTTTGAGTGTTGTAGCAACTCTCACATTTCACATCACATTTATCACAAGAAAGTCCGTTTCTGTAATAGCCATTTACACACTTTACACACCCTCCAGATGGCACAAATTGCATACAAATGTCTCTTAAATCTTCATTTGTAATGCAATTGTGTTCACTCAAAAATGTACCACTTCGACAACTCATACAGAACGTCGAATTGTAATAACACGTCTCACAATTTAAGTTACATTTTTCACATCTTTGTGTTATTAAATTATAATAAAACCCAAATCCGCATCTAGCACAGCCACTTGTGTACGTTTTAATACACTTTTCATCATCATTTAAAACACATGTTTCACCATTTAAAAGCATTTTATTTGGACATTCAACACATTTGGCGTTTAAAACACTTTGACAATTTAACAACTCAGTTGTACATTTTCCATTCAAGTCATTTGGATGTTCACAATTGGTCAACTCACATGTTTTGTTAATGTTCATTTCACTTAACGAGTCACATTTTGTCGACTTTTGGTATTCACAAATTAAAGTGTTTGGGTACACATCTCCACATTTGATGCATGTTGTTGTATTTGAAAGATATCCACTATTGCATGAAACAACACTCTTTTGATTGATCACTTCCGCATGTTCTATTTCAACACAAATTCCGTCTTTATTAAAAGTGTTTTTAGTTGTATTGCAGATCGCACAAGACCCATCTCTTCTCAACAAAATACAGTCATTGTTTATTTCACATATTCCATTCAGCAACACAAACCCATCTTTACATTTTATGCAACTTTTTGATACAACAAGTTGACAATTAGTATCGTTGACACATTTGCCATTGACTGGATAATACCTATTTTTACATTCAATACAACTGTTTGCATTGAAAGAACATTTTTCGCAATTTAAGTCGACGCAATCAACACAACTTTTAGTTGTGACATCATAAAAGTTGTCTTCACACGTGTTGACACATTTTGTACATTCAACTATCGATGCATTCAGATGACATATTTGGCACTGTTTGTTATTGATCTGCATCAAAGTATATGAAATCAACAGCACCCCTTTTGTGACATTTTCAATTTCTATTGGAATTAAATTGTTGTTTTTGATGTACAACACTAAGTTGTCTGTTTTTACAACACAAATCTTCTTCTGTTGTTCACCAACATAAATATTTTCGTTGTTGATATCTCCCACGTTGCCTTCTTCACTTTTATAATTTGAATGTATTCTGTTCATTTTCATTGAATTTGACTCTTTGATGTTTTCAATATCAACTCGCATTGCAGTTACTTCTTTCAATGGGGTGATATAACACGTATATTTGTCATCGTCATCACATGGGCAATAACTTTCCAAATACCTATACGTGTTATTAGACGTGTATACTAAATGGCAGTATATTCTTGTAGAGTGTCCATATCGTATCAATTTTTTGTCTTTCAGTGGTGTCAACGACTCGTGTGCTGTAAAAATAATTGGACTCTCGTTTTTTGAGAAAGCGATATCAAAATCGAATTCAGAAACGACTGTATTTGCGTTCGAAAAATATATAAAAATGGTTTGAATGAGTGGAATATCTCGTATTGTTCTGTTATGCACATTAAATGTCCCTCCATTTAACAAACAACTTTCAGCTTCTGCCCAAGCATTTCCGGTGATGTAAATATTGTAATTTTGAGCATCAATAGATGTCGTTAATTCAACTTCTTTTTCGTCCATATTTCCTTCCAAATAGATTGAGGCGCCAGTAGTTATAACCATATTTTGTGTTTTAACAAGTGAGTTGGAATAGACACGAATTTGAGTGCTTCCTGTAAGAATTATAATATTTGTAGCAATCAGTTTTGAGCTCCCATATAAATACACTTTGGCATTACCACTCACTGTAAAATTCACTGCATTTACAACTGAGGAATTCCAAACATTCAAAGTCGAACTGCCATCAACTAAAAAGCGATTTGTAGCACCAATATAACTTGTGTTGTACAGTTTTATTGTTGCTTGAGATAACACACCAACATCTTTAACAACAACTACAGACTCATCATACATCTCAAACACTGGATTAGCTGTGAGTGTCATAAACACATTTATATTAACACTACACCTTTCTCTCAAGAATATTTTGGTGTTGCTATTCATTGTCAAATTGTTTATTTCAAATGTCGTATTTTTGTTTGCTGTAATTTGAACATCATCTGACAAGACAAGTCTGTCAACAATAAATCTCGCATTCCCAGTCGCTTGCAGTGAACTCACAGCACTGAAAACCGCATAATTCATAACAATAACACTAAAATCACTCACAACGAGACTTGAACTGTCCACAAATAGTATTGTATTCATTGTTTCAAATGTCGCACTTCCTGTTATTTTGATACGAGAAGAAGAATACAAAGTCAATGATTGTAATGTTAAACCAGATTGGTCATTAAGTATTAATTTGCTAGTGTCTTTTATTTCAACTGAATTGTTTATTTCAGCAATACCATTTCCATTAAGAGTAAATGATGAGTTGGTATACAATTTCAGTGGACAATATGAATAATAATACGAATAATCATTGAGTATAATCATTGCGTTGGTTGTCAATGAAATTTCAGGTACTACCAAGTTGTTAGTAGACACATTCATAACTACTCTTGAAAACCCAGAAGTCACAAAAATCGCATCTTCATACATTTGAAAAGAATTAAAAGATTTGAAAATTGCATTGTCATACATTTTAAACGTCGCTTTAGAACTCATTGAAGTACCAGAATTTGTTTTAAGTGTCGACTCGTTTTGTAAAATCAACACTGAACTTCCACCCAAAGTAATCAGTCCGCTGCTCATAACACATTCGTCATTTTGAATTATTTTTATTTCGTTGTTTAACAATTTAATTTCTTCGGTTATTTGTTCAGAACCTTTTTGTCCGATTTTTAATGTCGCCGAACATTGTAATAATAAACACATGAACACAAAAATTAATAAAAAGGGAATACAACGCATTGGGTTCCAATTTGAAGTTGTTTAAATTCATAGTTTTTTTATGTGATAAAATCACATTTATAAAAATAGCATCCAAAACCTGTAAAACTACTTTTATTATACCAAATAAAATATTTTATAAATAAACTATAATTGTTATTTTTATTACCAAAATTTAAAAATATCAACCCAAATAATTTTTTTATTTTACAACAAACATAAATATAAAAAAGTGTTATATATTAGTATTTAAATAAATATACAAATTTTGTTGATTAATAATAAATCGAAAAATGACACAAAAATTCACAATTAAATCAATTTTTTGTTGTGTTGATATTTATAATAAATTTGTTATTTATTAATGTTGTGATATTGATACTAAAATTTAAAAAATGTTTTGTTAACTTGTTAATTAATACATGATATTTTAATTTAAATAAAACCTTTTTATTGTATTCCATAAAGAGATACACTATTTTTATTTAACATTTAAAAAAATTAGCAATTGTAATAAAGTCATTCTTAAAACCGTGCAACTTTGACATGTCAGTGCAGTTTTGTTGGTAGTATAATTATAATAAAACAATTATATGTATTTATTAAACAAAACAAAAAAACACAAACAAATTTTATTAAAACTATTACTCTAATTAAAATACCATAAATAAACTATAACTAAAGTTGCACGATCTTCTCAATTAGTATTTTGGGTAACACCATTCAACAGTCTCGTGTTTATCAAAATTTGCAGTGAAGGAGTTTTTGAATCACACAAGTTGGCTTTATTCATCATTATTGTTTTATGAACGAGATGTTTAACATCTGCACCATCCAAAATCAATATACAAAACTGCTTTATTTGTTTTATGACAATTAGAATTCTGAATTTTAATGTTTTTTATTAAAACAAGCAGTTAAACTCATCATTTAAATATCGAGTTACATTTTATGTTGATTTATAACATAATTCAACTTTTTGTTTTAGTTATTGTATTGTTCAAAAAAGTTTCTTTTTTGTGAGTATAAAACAAAAAAAATAAAGTTGAACACTTATTCAAATGACTTTACTTGTGTTTGTTCAAACACTTAACATTTTATTTTTGGTTATTTAACTTCAGTTATTAGTTTTTTTATAATTATTAGTAAAAATAATTATATATTTATTATTAATTTGTAGTTTAAATGTTTTACAAATTCGTTATAGTATATTATAGTAATTTATTATAGTAATTTATA